GCAGACTCAGACACCAGCCACCCGTGGGCTTTATGGCACTCCCATTCGGTGGGATCTGATTCAGGCACTGTTACGACCCGCACTTGGTACTTTTAATGAGCACGAACGGCGAGTTAGCCGACCGGTCCCAAAGATCCGTACGAGGAAAGCAAGAGAAGACGAGCGGGCACGAGACAGCGTGTACTCAGACAAAGCATGTTAGCGCAAGTCGTTCTCACACAAAGGCTGAATGCAGTTAAGGAGGCGCGAGACAGACATAGCCAAAGATAATTGGCCAATCAGAATTTATAAGACACCCTGGCCGACAGCCAGGTAGCTCGCGATGCCTTTGTGTGTGTTGACGCATCATGCAAATCGCGGCATTCCCAACAGGCACGATGGCTCCTGTCACCTGCGCGCAATCTCGCAATCAGTCTTTTTGAGTCCGTCTTGACACCGTGCTCGCGCGGGTGAGGTAAGCGAGAGTGCGTCGGATGCAACGCAAGTCTTCTTTTACTTAGAACTTATCTATGCATTAGTCATGGCCCCTGTATCAACACGCTGTGGAGCACACTGTTAACATCGTCGGTATCCACGGTCGAACTGGCGGATCTCAAAAATGTTCCTTTCAAGACACTTGAAAGTATGTCAAGCAATCTGGACTTTTAACATCGAAGCCAAGTAACGAGTTGACTAAAGGTTTGAAAAATAACTGCGGGTCTATTTGGGTTGGGGAATGGCTGAATTTATATTGTGGCTTGAAAGATAGCCGACCGAAAGTAAGTATGCTCAGGTATGTGAAGTATTCAGGGGCCGTATTGCATGGTGACTGGTATTGTAATCTTATTCAAGCACCTATGTTTTAGGCTCTTCCACCTACTCTAAAAAGTGCTGATGAAATATTTTTGAAAAGGCTGCGATTCATGAGAGGAATTGATTGAAAATGGTAGGTACAAAAGGTCGTACGGTAATCAGAGAAATTGGGCAAGCAGAAACTGCGGTGTAGGCGAAGCCTTTGATCCAGGGTTGAATCATATATCAAAAACAGAATCTAACCGCGAGCTCTCACGCCAGCATGCCCCTGCTCACTTTCCGTTGATTCTATATCTATCGAGCCAAAATTAGCTGATTCAGAAAAAAAGGATTACTTGCTTATTCACACAAATCGTGTCCTTCGCCTTTGATGAAGTTGCAGTTTCAATGTGGATTGCATGATAGCATTTACAAAATTATGGTTAATTTGTTTAAGTGAAAACTGTTTTTGGGAGGGATTCATCAAAGAAGCGCCCAATGGCAAAAGTCCCCCAGCCCGCGTTTTTAACGGAATTTGTGGTTTAATGATTAATGCGTGTGATAGCTGCGCAATAAGGAATAAATTAAAGCCGCTTGTTATTGTTTTACTGAAGTAAAAATGTAAGTTAACATTTTCTTTGGAAAGGATAAAAAGGCTATAAAAGAAGTTCATAGATCAAGAAAAACCATTAGAACAAATCCTGTTGGTTACCATAATCAAGGAATTGTTTGGATAGGCGGAAATTCAACTAACTGAAACTGTGGAAGTAGTTTTTTTAAAGAATTATTAGTACCTTTCCTCAGACAGCCCTACTATAAATCCTACCCTGTTTATTGCAAGTTGTTTTATTGGGTGCAAGGGAGTTGGTATTGATAGAATACTAATCATGACCTATTTCGACTAAATTTTTTTTTCGCTTCTTTCCGGAAACTTGCGCCGGCTGTTCCAGAACTTAATAAAAGCAGAAAAATTTTACCATTTTGGAACCCAACACCCCGATTCCCAGACACTGAGTTAAAACGTGATAGAGTTTCCGAAACAAAAGGTGACTGCTGTCGGAGTCCGTGCCTTCGCGTGCCATCAATGACCTATGGGAACGGTAGTTTACAAAACTAAACAACTCGTCTACGCGTGCCACACACGCGCATGCCCCCTGCAGGTTTCTACAAAAACAACTAAGTTGGATTGTCAGGGAGGCCACATGCAGATGGAACTACTGAGTTCGATTATCCATCCTAAGAGGAGGGTTTATCGGGGAGAGTCGGCCTCGTAGCTGAGACTGTTAGTGCCTCTAAATTGACCGATTACTTAATACCCCAGAGGACTCAGTTCGACATCCTAGGTGCACGATCTACTTGAGCTGCATCAAGGCAGGGGGACCAAAAATTTCCATTCTGACGACCCCATCGATTTACTAATACTTCTCAATATTTAATAATTGTACGCCAGTTGATCGGGTCTAGCTGTTGGGCTAGGTCAAAAGGGACTTCTTCATTATCAGTAGTTGACCAAAATATCCCATTTTGCGCTTTACCTACCTGCTCTTACTTGATTCATCCCTCCCTTACAGGCCCGCAGCGCATTGAAAGC